TGCCGTTGTTCACTCTCTTGCTGCAAATTCTGGAAGTACCGCTTGTAGGCCTTGTTCTCTAGAATGCGCAGGACTTGATCCAAACGTCGATAGAACCTCAGCAGCTTTTCCCGAGCTGGACCTTTCAGTTTGTCTCTGGCGACCTCTGCCAAGCCTGTTGTGCGAAGGACCTCTACGACTGGAGACTCCTCAACGACCTCTTCCTCCAACGCCAGGAGCAGGCAATCTAACCAAACCTCTTGGCCAGTGATCTGCATGTGCTCTAAAACTTCCGCAAGCTCATCCACATCCCAGCCGTCCTGTCACAGTTGATTGTTCCCAAATCTTCAAAAGGGACTCAACCTGTCAGACCAGCCCCAAACATGGAGAGGTTTCCTTAGTCAATCGCTATTTCCCCTGTAAAATTCACCCCAAGGCCATCCCATCCTGCATGATGTCTTGCTCCAGGAGTTGCGAGTCATCTCTGCCCAGATCCTCCAAAACGATGCCCTTCGAAGGGGTCCGCTTCGTCGGCTTCCCCTCCGGCCACCTGCGCGGGTCCGCGATGGTCCACGGCGGCCCACCACCCGAAGGGAGAGGAATGGAAGGGGTCATTGTCCATTGCTCTTGGACACAGGAAAACCCTTAAAGACCAAAGAATATGTTTTTGACCTCACAAAATGATCTCCGGGTGCGTTTTTTGGAGGATGGTGCGCCTGGAGAAGAGATAGCCATGCAGCCTTTTCTTGATTTGCGTTCTGGCTTGATCCGCGTCCTCCTGAACATCATCAAGTTCCTCGTCTTCACGATCACTGCCACTCTCCACCTCCTCCTCGGGGGGGGCGATAGATTTGAGAGTCCTTTTCCACCTCAGCAACTGCACCATGAAACCTCCAGAAGTTGTGCACTGTTGGTCGCATTGCAGGTGGCTTGGCATAGGCTTCATGCTGACTCTTTCGACCCGGCTTCACCTTACGTCTCTTGGTCATACAACTGCAGGACTGCATCAACTTGGCCAAAAAGGTCTTTCTTGGAGGATCTTGGAACATGAGGGTAATGGTCCCATCTGGTTCTGGCACCAGTGCCCTCTCAATGTGCTCATACTCCTCCTCATCCAGAGTATTCTGCCACTCCACCTTCTGCTTGTTGACCTTTGAGACCACATCCCCAGGCTGAACATTTGCTTGGAGTGCTAGGCCAGGTCTCAGGACTCTCTTGACCGTCACCTGATCTTCACTTTGTCTCTCCAGCTCTAACTCCGCTTGCAGCTCCTTCTTGTCGTGGTACCTCACCTGCTTCATGCCCATCTTCGCATTGGCTTCCAACCTGGCTGCCTTGATGTCGGACTCTCCCACCAAAGCGGCAAAGGTGTTGAGCTGCGTGGCTAAGAACATGTTGGTGCTGATGAAACGAAAGACCACCATGAAGGCCACAAAGAAAAGGACTGCCAAGGTGGGGCTCACCCTCATCAGTGGTCTCAAATCAGATGAACCACAGACCCAGTAGAGCAATGCTCCCATCGTGGACAGAGGGCTGCTAAACTCCTGCACCATTGTACCGAACACCACCGTCATGGCCAGAGCAAAGCCGGCCATTTGCAAGTTGATGACAATGATGAAGTACAAATTACGAGTCTTGCCATTGGCCAACGTGTTGCTGAACTTGCTCACGATCTTGAAGCGGTTCACAATCTTGACAGTCTTCAACGCTATGAAAAGGCTGTTCAAAGCTGCAAATTCCAAGAACACACCATAAGTGCCTTGGATGATCTCGAATTGCCTGAAGAAGTACCAGTCATCCTCTTGGTTTCGTGAAGGATCTACGACCTGCTGCATATTGTAGAGCTTCACTTGCTCATTGGGCACCACATACTTCTTGGTGTCATCGGTGCTAAAGCGGTAGTCGGTCCGGAAGCCATTCAGCACAAAGACCAGGAAGGAGATGACCGTCGCCAAGGAAATCAAGAGAGACAACGTTTCAATGACATTCCATCCCTCAGACCAATAGTCTACAAAGAACTTCCTCAAGGGCTGCTGCCTGCGACGTGAGGCTGCCAACTCTCCTGCCACGTGCCTGATCATGTCAATGATGTGATACAGTAGGAGTGCCACATATAAGCCAAACAACACCAGCACCAGGGTTTGAAGGTCAAAATACCCACCACCAGTGTCCACGTTCATGGGGAAGGTGCGTGATTCAGCCGATCGGCGCATGACTCCCGTCTCCAGCAGGCTGAAGGCGACGATGCTGTGGGTGAACAAGTCCATGTTACCATTGTAGGTGAGCCAATCAAAGACGATTGAGGCACTGTTTTCAGTGAACCATCTGCTTGCATCTAGCAACGCCAACACATCTTCACACTGCTCCTTGGTCACACCCAAGCTCAATGAAAGACCGCCAAGCATTTTGAAAGGCCCAAGACCAGTGCCTGGTGCATCGTATCCAAAGCTGAATGTCTCCGGCAAGAGCGAAGAGTTGATGGCATTCGACAAACTTTGGGCGTTGACCACGTCGCCATCAGCACTTCTACAGGACTCAGAGGAAAACACATCGGTGCACACGGAGTTCCAACAACTCACATCGGGGGTCTTTCGCAGGGTTGGCAAGCCCGAAGCCCATTTGGACTCCGTCGCGACGAAGCAGGCTGGCTGGATGGTCAAGCGTACAAAGGTTGTGTTCAAGAAGCCAACGTTCCAGCCTCCAATGCGATTCAAGAGCTGTTGAGAATTGTTGGAGTTGGCACAGCTAGGGCTAGCATTCCACATGCTGCCACTTGTGGTGCTCTCTGCACAGGTTGGATTGCTGTACAGTCCAACAATGGCAGTGTCGGCCCAAGTTTTCACGTCAGAGAAGGAATGGATTTGGTCAAAGTTCCGAATGGTATCATTCTTGTAGAACATCACCTCAAGAGCGCTTTCTGACAGGGTTGTTTGCCCAGTGAAGTAGGAGTCTGAGCCGCGGCCCTGTAATGTCATCAAGCAAATCCACACGGCCATGAAGGCAACCATCGTTGTGAATGCAATCAGATTCTGCCTCAATTGATCTGGATCCTGAGCACCTGAGGGAAGCTTAAAACTCGGAATGAGTCATGTGTGTCCCCACATTTTGCACACGGATCCCTGAGATGTGAGTCAAGACTTCATGTCCATCCCAAACAAAATCCATCCCCAAACCCCAAACCAAGAAGACATCGGATGTCAGATCGGATCCCTCACCTTGCTGCTGCACCTGTGTGCTCTGCCTCTCGGCCTGTGCTGTACCCCTGGTCAGCGCTCGGCTTGAAAAGAAGGTCAGCGCGGGCGGAGCCGAGATGCAGCAGCAGGCCTTGATGGAGACCACGATGGGGTCGACACAAACGCGAATGTACTTCATCAAAGTAGAGCCATACTTCAAGATATTCCCAACCACATCAGCCTTCAACTCCTCAAAGATCAGGATGATCGGATTCTTCTCAACTTCGTTCTGGCCCTTCTTGTGGAGCTCGTAGTCTACAATGTCATAGCCACTCATCAAAAGTGTCACAAAGATGTTGATCAGGACAAGAAAGAACAAAATGTAGAAGGAGAAAAAGTAGATCGGCCCCAAAATGGGATCCACACGGGTGATTTTGTCAAAGATCATGTCACCACTGAGCATGGAGAAGCTCTTGTAGATGCAAAGACCAATGTCACTCATCTCTGAATACCCTGGTCCAAATGCAAAGAAGCTGGTGAGAACGAAGCCGATCTGAAGCATGCCAAACAAGGCCAGAAATGCGATGAAATTCGGTCCTGAGACATGTATCACCTTCAAAATCAAGCCAAGGTTACTGTGCAATCCAGACACCAGGCTCACCGTGCGCAGACTCACCACTAGAAGATTGGCAGCGATGAAGAGCCCTTGAATCTGAAGAGATCTGGCCACATCGCACAAGGACACATATGTAGCTGCCATGGTGCTGGAATTCTGCAAGTCTGCGAAGTTAAAACTTCTGAAGGGCTGCATTTGCTCAATGATCCAGTATGAGAGGAAAACGCCCAGAGACACCGTGATGGACACCATATCTGTGATTGCCCCTTGCTGCCTGAAATGGGCGAAGAAGCCCAGATCCCAAATGCGTCGGAACTCCAGAAGCAGGAAGATTATCAGCATCACAACACAGGTCACTCGGATAATGTAGAAGATCAAGTATTTGGTCACAGAGGTGTTGAAGACATTCAAGTTGAAGCTCCGTGCATCATTGGAGGACTCCCCATGACCCGAGAAGTCAAAGGCGAAGCTTTGCACATATTGCAAGAACATCTCGACATTTGCATTGTACACAATCATATCAACAGTACAAGTGCCCATTCGCATATCAAATAACCCCGCTTGCTTCATTCTTTGCAGCAAAGCATCATAGGCATCGCTTCCCCACATGGGATCGAAGAAAGAGGTAAAGCCTCCAACTCGATCGAAACTGCTTCCGGTTTCCCACTGGAAACAACCAGCTTCTTGAGCTTCCTCCGAGCTGCCAGTCCCAGGAACGCAGAGCGTGGTTTTATCCTCTGCGGCGTTTTGGCTGAAGGCATCGAGCCTACTCACTCCGCCGGCCAGTCGGTAGGGAGTGGAGGGCTGAAACTGACCAATGGTCGGCTGCACGGCCCAGCGCTTGAAAGTGAAACGAACGAGGAGGATCCGATTGAAGCTGCCAATTGTGGGAGGAGTCTTGTTGTGTGTCCATGACGACATGTTTTGCCACGAAGCATGCACTGACATGTCTTCTTGTTCGCCGAACAACACCGGCCTGAAGGCGTCCCTCATCCAATCATACACCTGCTCAGGATCTTGCACTTCGTCAAGGAATCTGGTGGTGTTCAGATTCTCCAGCGAGAAAGGGTTCTCAGAGATTGCTTTTGAAATGGTCCGGTAGATCGCATTGGCATCCCAAGTGCCGATGGATTCCAGATTGAGGTAGATGGTAAAGATGGCGAAGACCACATAGAAGGTCGCCAAAGAGGCTTGCCCCATGGTCTAATAGTTCAGTGGCTTCTGGATGCTTCTGGCCAATATTGTTTTGTGTCAACTTGTTTTCTTCATGACTCTCACATGCAAGCATGTGTTGAACGCAGCCACAAAACGTGCCTATTGCGGATACTAACTGCAGGGTGCTTATCTTTCACTTCCGAACTATTTCACGGGTGGCTTCAAGAATTTGTTTCTCATGGTCTAGCAACGCCTTGGGAAACGAGGACCAGCAGGCAACAGAAGCATGAAGAGAAACAGCCGCATGATGCAATCGTGCGAATGGTTGACTTCAGATCTTTTGACTGCAACCTTACTGTCTGGTAACGGTAAAGCGGACTCCAAAAAAAAAGTCAGAAGTTCCAACTCTGAACTCAACTGGCTTGAATGAAAGCTTTCGTCTTCGTTTCGCATACATCTGCATTGAAGGATAAACGGCTGGATACTCACAGCTTGGGTGGGACAGAATCTTTTCTGGCAAGAAAAAAAACAGATTGTCTCCTTTTCCTATGACCCTGCGTCTCTCTCTGAAGTGGAATTCAAGGTCGGTACTCGACTGGCTTGGCGCTGGTGCTCTTCATTGATCTGCCGCCTTTGTCTCGCGTCTCTTCGTGGACACTCCCAATGACATCCCAAAACCACAGATGGCTGCCAACAAAAACAGAGCTTCCCATTCAAAAACTGTCTCATTGCTTGATTGAACCCTACGCCTAACACCACTGTTCCGCGCTTCGCACTGCGCGTCCATCGGAGAGGAGCTCTGAAGAGCAGCCTCCAACTCCGGCTCCATCACCAAGCCACCACACGGAGCGAAGCGCTCAGCACGGAGCGAAGCGCTCAGTGCCAAGACATGAAAAGCACCAGTTTTTGACGCGCAAAGACCGAAGAACAGCAGAAAAAAGAATTGGCGTGCTCTGGCGTGTTCTGTGTCTTGTTGGGCGACCATCATCCAGGTTCGCCGAAGTGGCCCTCCCGTTGTTTTTGCCTTTTTCGATCTGCAGGCTCAAAGGGCATCAAGTGCGAAGCACGTGAAGTGCGCCACAAGCTCGACTCTGAATGGACGTGTTCACGTTTCGCCTAGATGGCGGATTTCCAAAAGGAAAGAATCGGGTAGGGTAGACGTTAGGAGGACAAGCTCGACTCCCTGCCAACGGAAGGTGCCAAGGCGGGCGCTTGGTCCGCTTGTCGTCGAAGATTGAGGGCTTGATTGATTGCTGGGGGGCACGAGTTCGAGAACCTTTTAGCAATCAAAAACTGATCGGCAAATTGGAACGAAGTTGTGTTGCAGGTGGCCTTGCAGCAGAGGGAGTGCATTGTGTAAACACCGAACCTCGCCCAAGGTGGTGATTTCGGGCCAAGAAATCACGGAAAAAAATGGCTTGTCGACTGCGTTGACCATTTAGGGACCCACATGGGTCATGTGCTCTTTGGAGGTCCAGGCTATACATGGGTTCTATTGGGTCATGTTGAGGAGCAAATGTGGAGCCGGGTTCGGGGCATGTACGGCTCCGGGTGCGGGGACGGCGTCGCGTGGCGTGGGACGGTGTCGCTGGGTGAACGCAGTAGAAGGTGGTTGAACGCAGGTGTGATGTTGGGCTCTGCTGGGTTCATGTGTCCTGTTGAGGCCATGTTGGTGTACTGTACACGTGGTCCATGCATGGATTTCCACATTGCGGCACATTCACCACATCGGGGTTGGTTGAAATGAGATGAAGGATGGTCACTGTATGTGTTCAATGTGATTCAAAAGGGGGTCGACAACGTGGTGGTTGATTTTCTGGGTTTGTATCTATGCCAGGCACATGGAGTAGCGAAGAACATGGCACTTTGGACAAACTGAGTAGACTGCGCAAAAGGCTGGGAAGGGCTATGGATTCTCATTAGTAACACTGTCTGTGACCGCGTGGTAGGTGACTGTCCGAAGTCCAAATAGATCCAAAACAAGACGAGACGAGTGCCGCCGTCGAGCAAGAGCCCACCGGCTCACATCCATCGTGTGTACAGATCCGGTTCATGTCTGCATGTTCATTCAATCTGCTCCTTCGTGCTTTCAACACAATCTCTGTTCTTCAGCTCCGATGCCCCCGCTCGGGCTCCCGACAATCATCCGTTTGGCCAACACGCAGAGCTCCCCGAGCTCCTGACGGGGAACCGGTCGCCAAAGGCCTTGCGAAATAAAAAGTTGAAATTAATAATGTTTATCCGCCGACCCCACACCGTGGGGTGAGGCGTGACTGTCGATGTTAGCCGTAGGCTTAAGCCTTAGCCTTAGCACTAGGCCTTAGCCTAAGCCTTAGCCTTATCCTTAGCCTTAGACCTAGTCCTTGGCCTTAGACCTAGACCTTACCTCCCCTACCCCTCCGGACCCTTGTTGCAGCGACGAAATCCGGTCCTAAAAGCTACAGAATTCTCCGGGAAAGCGACCTGATGGCGACCTGATGGTGCCCTGGATTGTCCAAGATTCTGCCATCCCAATTGATTTACATCTTGGGGCACCCTCTCGACCCGCGCGGGAAAATAAGCACAGTCCAAAATGGTCCTGGGCTCGAATCCCGGGCTGGTCGCGGCGTGGTCCCGGCCAATGCCCTTGCTTTTTCGTAGATTTTGTCACGTTTTCTGTTGGTTTATGAGATTTTCAAAGGCTATTCTGGCATTTTCCTAGGAATGCTCTAGGCTTTGTCTAGATTTTGTTATGTTTTCGGCTGGATGCTTTTCCAAGAATTTTCTAGCGCTTCCTGGGAGGTACCCAAAAAGTCGACTTTTTGGGTACCTGCTGTGGTGGTGATGGGTTGGGTCACCGGGAGAAACCGATCGATTCAGCACAAGTCCGGGCGCCGAGTCGACTTTTTGGGTACCTGCTTTGGTGGTAATGGGTTGGGTCGCCGGGAGAAACCGATCGATTCAGCACAAGTCCGGGCGCCGATACGCGTGGCATTTGAATGTACCCTAGACCATGGGCAGCGCCCTGCGGCCCCACAGGCCGCAGAACCCAACGCGTCACGGGGTTCATGCAAGAGCTGACGTCCGATGGTAAATCTGGGAGGTACCCAAAAAGTCGACTTTTTGGGTACCTGCTTTGGTGGTGCTGGGTTGGGTCTAAATTCTTGGGCAATGATATCCTTTATGGGGAGGAG